GTAATATTCTGCAGGAAAATCTTCATCTGGCCCAAAAAAGAGTAACCTAAAGATGGGAGAGTCATCATCATTCTTTACTTATGTTAAATCAAGCACACTTGCCTGCACTGAAGACAATGTTGTTGAACAAGTGAGGATAAAAGAGAAACATCAAGCATTTGGTTACCAAGTTGTGGATGATCCCCAAGTACACATAAGTCGAGAGGCACGGGAAAGCAATTCAGAAGGAGATGACTTGCAGAGCAGTAATAGTAGTGTCCCATATTCCCTTTCATTGGAGGGGTCTGGTACCCCTCTTGGATCAATGTTACTTCAACATGAAAAGAATTTTGAGAAAGACCAATCCTCACAGGTGCTTGTGCATCCAAGAAATGAACTTCAACAAGATTTTTCTGGCTTACCTGCCCAAGCTGCCTATCCGTATTATATTCCAGGGGTTGTGAATCAAGTTATCATGTCATCATCAACACAAGTGCATCAAAAGAATCCGCATGACATGCAAAATCATTCTACAACTGCTATTATGCCACAATACAATCATATTCCGCACTGCCCTCCAGATGTAACTGGGATAACTCCATTCCCCTGCTACCAGTTTAGTATATGCTTACAACCTGGTCAAATTCCTAATACTCATCCATGGCCATCACTTGGAATTTCATCTTCCACTGAAGTGAAATAGAATAAGGTTGACAGAAGAGAGGCAGCGTTGATTAAATTTAGGAAAAAAAGAATGGAGCTTTGTTTTGATAAAAATATCAGGTATGTTAACCGAAAGCGACTTGCTGAAAGGAGTGCGGGACAATTTGTGAGGAAGGTAAGAGGTGTAAATCTGGAGCTTCAGTCAAGGGAGTACTCTCTGGAAGACGGTGCTTCTGGATGTTAAAAGTCATTCTTATTGGACATGAACGGGACTTTTCTAATTCTTAAGATGTGATACTTTGTAGTTGTAAAAGTTTTTCCTGCATGCATCTTTAGATGCTCCCTACGTGGATGGATGAGAATTTGGCTGCTCTGTCTAATTGGAGTATCCTATGAGCATCATCATACCGGTTGAAAAATATTGGTCAAGGGTTCAAGCTTCTCGTTCTAATTTCAATCATATAAAAAATCAGATCATTGTCTTCATCTTGTTCAGCATCGCAAAAGCCCGAAAGACAAATGATATGGAGCTTGTCAAGCAACTATTATTCCACGGCAAATTCTGTTTGCTAGGATTGGAAGCATTCATCGTTGGTTCATCGCCATGTTCAAAATCCAAATGGGAAATAGGTTAGTCTTCCAAATTCTTAGTGAAGAAATGTTTTACATTCTAAATAATGTCTCAAAGGAGAAGTTTTGAATAATGTCTCAAAGTAGAAATTCTGAATAATATCTCAAAGGAGAAGTTTGTTTTTCTTTTGTTCGTACGGAATTTATAATCATGAAAATATCATAACTAAGTTTCTTATTTTGCTCTTTTTTTCCATAGCTTAGTAATATTTTGAAGACCTTTAATTTGATCTATTTATACCCAATTCAGCATGACAGGCAGCTGCATAGCAAATCATCATCTATAGAGACCATGTAGTTAAGCGCCTGAATGCGTACATGTAAGCATCACCAATTCATCACCTTGACTTTTATAACTTTATTTTAGAAAGGAGTTAGAGAAGGGTTTATTTTGAGCTCATAATGTGGCTGGTTTGCTTAGCATGGCTTTCTCATGCTTCCTTGAGTATGTTGACGACATAATTGTTGAGAGTGTTTGTCCCATATTGAAATGTTAAGGGACCTAGCCTGGGTTTATAAGGAGTTGGGCTACTCCCCTCATGGCCAATTGGTTTTGGGGTGGAACCTCAACTTCCTACATGGTATCAGAGCTAATGGCTAAAGCCAATTAGCGATCCTTCATTTGCCAACATTGAGAGTCGTTGGCTCTCCTCGCCCGAAAGGGTGTTTGCTTATGTATAGTTCTCCATATTCTCCTCCCTTCTATAATCAGTAATTTTTTTTTTCTTTCTCTTTGTCGCTGCCATTTCCTTTTATTTTTCAACTCTCCCTGTCAAGCTCTCTGCTCATTGATGAGCCTTTATCTTTCACTCTCTCTGTGTCTAGCTCTCTATTGATGATTGAGCCATTTCTCCTTCTTATGCTCTCTATTGAAGATTGAGCCTCACTCGCCAAGCCTTATCCTAGTCGGCCTTTGTCTCTATCCTACTGTGCTTCACTGTCGTTAGTCCCTTTGCTTCACTGTCGTTAGTCCCTTTGAACTCTCTCTCTCTCTCTCTCTGTCTCTCTCTCTGTCTCTCTGTGGTATCGGCCTCTCACGCTCTATCTATGCTCAACCTGTGTTCTTCTCTCCTCTTAAGCCCAATCTCTTTCTTTGGTTTTACTGTTGGTCTCTGTCTTCTTCAATGTTGTCTTGCACTGCCTTTCTTCTTCTCTGTTACAAGGGTATTATTTTCTTTTCTTTATAATTCTTTTATGTTACTGGGGTATTCTCTTCTCTTCTTTTCAATTGTGTTGTCTCTCTCCCTATCATGGGTTGTCTCTGCCATCTTGAGTTTCCTTTCCTTTTCATGGATTATCTCTTGCCTCTTGTTCTCTCTCCCTCTCTTGCCTACTTTCTCCTTTTGATGGGTGTTACCTTTTCTCATCTCTTTCTTTCTCTTTTTTTTTTCCATCTTTATTTTGAAAAGATTTTAACTCTATGTGTTTTGCCCACACTCTCTTTTCCTTTCTCTGTCTCACTTGGCAAGTGTTTCTTCTCTTTTTTGTGGTTTTTTTTTTCTTCCCCATCCCTTTACTTTTAAAATTGTGTTTCTCTCTCTTTGTGCACGACTTTCTGGCCTTTCCCACTTGATGATGGGTTTCACTTCCCTATCCCTTTATTTTCCCGCTTATCGCATGCTCTTTATCCTACCTAGAGGTGATTCCTAGGTAGAGTTATGTTTCTCAGGTGCCTAGAGTTGTTCCCTAGGTACATTTGACTTGTATGTCAGCCCTTCATTTTATTCCCTCCTTCCATGACCCCATGCACTCCTTCACTTGTTGCCTTTCACTTGGCATTATTTTTATTTTTCTATTACTTTGTTTCTCTCAAGCCATTGTTGCACCTATGGAGTTCTTCTTTTTTGTTTCCCTTACTAGACTACTACAGACGACTGCTACTGCCATCTCCATCACCATGTGGTTTCTTCATTCAAATCTTGCTATGCTGTGCGCGCTCGATTTGTGGGGGAGTGTTATGGAGTTACAATAGTATTTCAGTTACAATAGTTAATCATACTAATGATAGGAAATGGTCAATTGTCAGTTATGTTGTTATTAGGCCATAACTCCATATTTATGTTTGTGATAATGACTTGTTGTAACTGTAGATTATTCTCTGCAGACTTTATATATATTGTATAATGATCATATGAATAATATAAGTGAAAATCAGTTTCTACACGACATAATGATAGTGAACAGTGACTTTTCCAGGACGTTTTTCTTTCTCTTTTACTTTTAATAGCAATTTTGTCTAGGATAAAAGTTTTATTTTTCCAGCTTCTTGACAGTTTTGGTTCAGGTGGACAGTTGTAAATCTTTTCATTATAGTTCTCCTTCTACAAACAAACATTTCAGATTTTATCGATGCAGCCCTCCAGTCTCGAAATTGCAATAACCATGGATGTCCTTTAATGGTGTTAGCAGTGTGCTAAATTTGAGTTCATATGGTACCCAAGAACAATCTTAAAAGTTGAACCCAAGTTGAAGCTGTGATGCCTTTGCTACCCCCCACTATTTTATCCATCCATAAACAGAAAAAAAAACTGAGCCAATTTGAGTGAGATCAGCTTCTGAGATCATGTTATGGAGATTCTATCAGCTGATCAGATCCGGTACAAGCAGTCGTTACATGTCGCTTTAGCTTTTTCCATCACAAGGGCAAGTAGGAAAACAGGCCACAAATGTTCCTGGTTAGGCAAGTAACAGAATTCTGCATGCAGCTCAGCTTCATCCATGTCATGATGTTGCAAGATGGTCCCCAAGTCCCCTACTGAACATGTTTTTTTTAAAGCATGTGTTATTTTGATTATGGGATGATATCATGTGCTTGGTATTTTCGGCTTTTTAGATGAATGTCCATGTGTTTATTGTGCTTCATTTTTAATTCGGTAAGGATGTGACAGACACATGTTTGTGAGATTAATCTGGTAATTGCATGTGGAGCAAAACTCTTGCAGAAGAGCAAAGGCTCCCCCAATAGAGTAGTATTTTTTTCTTTCTCTACTGATTTCCAGCACTACACGTGCCGCTTGTCAATCAACTAAATGCTCTGCTTCTATAGATTTGGAGGTTCCTCTTGTTTTGCAGTAAATGGTATATTACATCGCTTATATATGGACTAGCCTTTCTACACGTTCTCTGAATGTCTGAGGAATTCATGGCAAAAAATATTGTTCATTCTCTTTTCACTAATACAAGATTACTCACTTTATATCTTATGGAGCCTAACTTCTAAGTTTTGGGTTCTATTTCTCTTTTTGTTCACAACAAGAGTTTAATGTAGGCTCTACCCCTTCATCTTTGCACCCCCAATATCATTTGAATTAGGGTTTATGGACAAAGTTTGAATTGTTGTTCAACAACTTATAATAAAATGCAGTCTAATTATAAACTTGTAACTAGATTATTCCCATTATAGTTGAAGCAGTTGTATGATCAACCCATTGCAACTTTGATGGATGTGGAAATATAGACAAACAATTGCCAAATTGTGATATATTTCACTTTCCCAAAAAAGAATAAAAACAATTTTGACATATTTTCTCTGAGTTAAAACCCAAAAATAAAAATGAGTAAACATATCCATGTAGTCCTCTCTGTCTCTACCAAACAATCCTAACCTGAACACTACCCTTTTGCACTTTTCTTTTCTGGGCGCACGTTAGTAACTTTTCCCGTGCCGAAAATAAAAATATCCCTTCTATAACTGGACAGATGGAGTTGAGAGATATAACAGATCAATTATACCCTATACCCAATACCCAATGGGCGGATTGAGAATTTAATAATTTCATTACTGTCCGTCTAGTCTTTTTCTAGTTTTTTCGTTCTTTTTGGCTCTTTTGTTTTCACTTTCTTTCTCTTTCGGCCTCGCAAGGCCGAGTCAGACAGATTTTGGCTGTGCTAGCGTGCGCTGCTGGCCGGTGATCCAAGCTCGGAACTTTTTTTACTCTTAATTATTCTATCCGCTCCCCTGCTGGTCAAGAATTCTCAACCGTCGATCAACTGATTGAGGCCATGAAGTGGAATTTTCTGCCATGGAGGTTCTCTAGTATTAAGAGTATTTGCCTGAGGGTGGGTTTGGGGTGGTGATGGAATTTTAAAGCTGTTTCCTTGAGGAGTGGTTTGGGTTTGAGGTGGTGATGGGATTTTAAAGCTGTTTCATTTCGGAGTGGTTTTGGGCTTTGGTGGGTTTTGGCTATGGAGTCTAAGGAGCTGAATTTGAACAGAGACTGTGAAGCTGGTGATAGCGGCGGCGGCGGCGGCGGTGCTGATGGGTTCATAGACAGGAGCAGAGTGAGAATTTTGTTGTGCGATAACAACGAGTACAGTTCGGAAGAGGTTTTCACGCTTCTTGTGAAATGCTCTTACCAGGGTAATATATCATTTTCTTTTATTTCTTTAATTAATTTACTGCATGTGGTGCTGAATTTTGTGAGTCGTGTGCTTAAATTTTGTTTTTTGGTGTGGGGTAGTCTTTGGTTTCTGAAGTTTAGTTAGGAAAATGTTAACGTTTATCTTCTGTTTGGCTGCTAAAAAAATGGAAGATGATGTGCGTGTGTTAAATTATGACTCTTGATTTCTTTGCTTCACAGTTATTTCCGTGAGGTCTCCTAGACAGGTGATTGATGCATTGAATGCAGAAGGGCCTGATATCGATCTCATACTTGCTGAAGTTGACCTTCCAATGAACAAAGGCATGAAAATGTTGAAGTACATCACACGGGATAGAGAGTTAAGGCGCATTCCTGTAATCAGTAAGCATGTCTTGCTCTTAGTCTTACCACAGCCATTTTCACTTAATGATAAATATTTCCTTTTGAGGAAAAGTATTGTCGTAACCTCACTGTACTGTTGAACCTTTTCTTTTGGTTAGTGATGTCGGCAAAAGATGAGGTCTCTACTGTTGTTAAGTGCTTGAAGCTTGGAGCAGCAGACTATCTCGTGAAGCCTTTACGAACTAATGAGCTTCTAAACTTGTGGACACACATGTGGAGAAGAAGGCGCATGGTTCGTTTGCATGACTTTGATGTTTTTGTTTCTAGAGCTGTTCTTCTAATTATCTCTACCCCTTCCATACCAGTCAATCTTCTCTTGCCCCTTGCCATCATATAGGTGTTGATGTTGCTTTAGGCTGTTAGTATCTCTTTATGACCCTCTTAGGTGAATGTATTATCTTGGGTAGTTCAGAAGAAAGCATGCAATTAGCTTACTTGGCTTCTCAGCCTTCTCTCATCTGAAGTTAAAGTTCGTAACCTTTATTTCAAAGAGCCATGTCTGTGTATCAGCAATACCTCTCTTTCAAGTTCCACTACCTAATTGATGTGTGTGCACTAGAATACTGTTTCCTCTCAAATCAGTAATTATATTTTATTTTTATGTATTTGGCAGCTTGGGCTAGCAGAGAAGAACATTTTGAATTATGTTGATCCGGTGATATCAGACCCTAGCGGATCTAATACAAACAGTACTACCTTATTCTCGGATGACACAGATGACAAGTCTGCCAATCCAGAGATAGGAATGTCAGCTCATCAGGAAGATAAGGTGACTATGCTATTTTATTCTTTTGAAAAGTAAAGAAGAGAAGTTGGGTTTAATAATTAATAAATATAGAGCTGAAGCTTGATTGTTAAATATATACAAACTAAAAAATATGTTCATTGTGAGACCAATATCTCTACTGACGCTGCATCATGTAATAAGTCTTGCTTGTATTGGTCTAAGAGGGGTCTAATATGCAATATATACAAGAAGTGAAATGTGAACTTTATACGCTGTTTTGAGTTTTATTTGGGTGATCTATGGAATCAGTCCAAGTTGGATTATATAGCACTATAAGAGTCCGTAGTGCTACTCAAAATACATGTGGAAGCATTTTAAATTAGGCATAACACCTAAGAGTACATATGCATAGATATTATTTGAGGTGCAGGATCCGGCCGTTGAAGGGCCCTGTATATATCTAAGTAACACATTTTAGATGTTAAATATTTAAAATGTACATTAATGGCTTGAAAACTGAATGTAACTCATTATAAATCTTTTTAGTTGAAATTTTATTTTCCTCTACCAGCAGACATCATATATTCAGTAATAACTCATGCTGAACTAGATTTGAGATGAAACAACTGTTGGAATCTGAAAAATTAGTTAGGACTCGGGTTGAATCTGTCAAATAATTCATAATTAACTATAGGAACTTAGGTTTTCTCTTCATTTAAGATTAAATTAATTACTTATTAGTAGCGCTTACTTCAACCATGAACCAAGTAGACATACGACTCACAATGTCATGGACCAGTCATGGTTTACTTGTCTACATTTTCTCTGCTGAAACCTAAATTCATTTTTCTGTGCTGAAACTGTGAAGCCTAACTATTTATATGTGGATCCAGCTCCCTAGGAAAATCAGTGATGTTTATAATGACTATGAACGTGTATTTATATATGTTCTTTTCTTGTTTTGGCTTCCTCTTCTTTATGTTTTTATTTTTTATTTTTTAGTCTGCTGCTGTTATGGAGCTTCCACCCAAGAATATATCAGAATTTCGGCCTGATGTTCCTGGAATAAGTGACCGACAAACTGGTGAGCCACTTGTGACAATTGAATTGCTGATTTTCCAAAGTCCAGGCATCTCCTAAGCTTAATGTTGTTTATCATCTTCCGCATTGCATTTGAATAAATGAATCATAGTTTGTGTAGTTGAAACAAGTGATGTATGAATACATAGGATCAGTTAAAGTAATACCATGAGACGACATCATTTCAATTTTACTGCCTTTTCTGATATATATTTTTTTTTTCTTAAGCTGAGTTCTGAAAATATTTTGAGGTTTTGGCTTCAGTTTGGTTTACACTAGGAAAGATGACAGTCTTTGAAGACTTTGAGAGTTTAATACAATTAAAGCTAGAGACAATTATTGACATTGAGCCTGTAGTTGTTTGTCTTACTGCAGTCTTTATTGTTTTCATTTCCTTTTCCAAAACAAGTATGTGAGAAAAGTTTAATGCTTTTTCTGAACTTCTTGTATAGTTTTATTTATTATTTTTAATGATGATGACAAACAGAAACAGTGAGAATTCTTGTTATATCATACGCGATGAGCATGTGTTCACTAGATACCATCATGTATGGCTAAGGGCTGTGTTTTGTGTCTAGCTGCATCATTCATTTGACTTCACTGATCTGAGAAACTTTTTCCTTAGAAGCAGAATGGTTTTTCAGTATGCCATTTTTCATCTTTACCACTTGGGTAACTTTTGCCCTTTTCTCTGATAATATTCCTCAGGAAAATTTTTATCTGGCCCAAAAAAGAGCGAACTAAAGATTGGCGAGTCATCTGCCTTCTTTACCTATGTCAAATCAAGCAAACTTACAATCAACTCTCAAGTGGTTGCTCATGTTGAAGACATTACCGCTGAACATTTGAGGATAGAAGAGAAACATCAAGCATGTGGTCTCCAAGTGGTTGATAATCCCCAAGTACATGGAAATGGAGAGGCATGGGAAAGCTATTCACAAGGAGACGACTTGCCAAGCAGCAATAGTATCCCAGATTCTCTATCATTGGAGAGGTCTAGTACCCCATCTGGATCAATGGAACTTCAAAATCAAAAGAGTGCTGAGGAAGATAGATACTCTCTGATGCCTGTGCATCCAAGAAATGAACATCAACATGATTTTTCTGGCACGCCTGCCCAAGCTGCCTATCAATATTATATGTCTGGGGCTGTCAATCAAGTTATGATGTCATCATCAGCCCATGTTTATCAAAAGAATCTGCATGATATGCAAAATCATGCTACAACAGCTATTATGCCACATTATAATCATCTTCCACACTGCCCTCCACATGTAAATGGGATGGCGTCATTCCCCTATTACCCGGTTAGTATATGCTTACAACCTGGTCAAATGCCTAATCCTCATTCATGGCCATCATTTGGAAACTCATCTTCAACTGAAGTGAATCTAAATAAGGTTGACAGAAGGGAGGCAGCATTGATTAAATTTAGGCAAAAGAGAAAGGAGCGGTGTTTTGACAAAAAGATCCGGTATGTTAATCGAAAACGACTTGCCGAAAGGAGGCCTCGTGTGCGGGGACAGTTTGTGAGGAAGTTAAATGGTGTAAATGTGGATCTTAATGGTGACCCTGCATCTGTTGATGATGATGATGAGGAGGATGAAAAGGATGATGAGGAGCTTGTGTCAAGGGATTCCTCCCCGGAAGATGGTGCTTCTTGATATTGAAGTCGTTGTATTTGGTTTTGAGGGACAGTTGTCTCATTCCTAAGATGCATTAATTCCCTTCTAGTCGTAATCCTTTCGTTATGGAAGTTACCTGCATCTTTTGGTGCTCTCTATGTGATGAGTGGGGATTGGTCCTGCCCGTTTAATTGAAGTATACTAGGTGCATCAACATATTGGTTGAAGGACATTGATCAAGGCTGCAAGCTTCTGGTTCTAATTCAATAAAATCAAAGATCAGATCTTGGTAAAGCATCCCCTTGCCCATCTTGCTCAGGGACAAAAATTCCCAAAAGACACATGATATAGAGCTCTTCAACCACAAATTCTGCATGCTGTCCTTGATTCATCACCATATTCAAAATCCAAACTGGCAATATGTTAATCTTCCGAATTTATTTTGTGAAAAAATGTTTGAGATTTTGAATAATGTCTCAATGGAGAAGTTTTAGATAATCTCTTAAAGGAGGAGGGGGGTTTTTTTTTTTTTTTCCCCCCCCCCCCCCCCCCCCTTTGTTAGTATGGAATTCTGTAGTCATTTAAATATCATAATGCAAGTATCTTTTTCCTTAGCCTTGTGTTCAGTATATGAAGAACCTGCATAGTAAGCTTATTTCCTTTCTTTGATGTAGAAGTTGTGGTTTACTGAACAAAGAAGGGGACACATTTCATTTTTCATCTCAATAGGACTTCAAAAGGGGTTTTCAGATGATGAATTTAGGTGCTCACCCTGATAAACGTTCTACTCTCTGTCCTATTTTTCAGCCATGCTTTCGTCTCGTAAGAGTCCATGGTTTGCTTTCCTTCATTCCAACAACAATTTTGTAAGATAGAACAAAAACACAACTCTGTTTGCCCCTCGCTGGAATTAGCCAATATCTTGGAGAGAAGAAAAAGAGAAGCTAGAAACAATATCCAACAACATAAAGAACACGGAGAGTTTGATGAAGTGTCAAATCAGTAAAATTATTCCAGGCAGTGCAGCAGCAGTATAGGCTAGTGGGTAAGCTTAAGATATAGGATAATCATGATGGCAAGGGCAAGGACTCCGATTATGGAGCCAACAATCCATTTGTTCCTATTCATCCTGCTTGTCATTTCTGTCAGGACCCTTTTGCTCTTGCCAATGTTTCCATCCACCCCATGGATCTGTCAAAAAGGAAGAAACAAAATCAGGTTTACCACCTCAACCATCTCATATCCTCATCAGACTAATTTAGGCACAGAAGCAAGCAACAAACAAGCCTATGCTTTCTGTGGCAATGTCACACATAAAGCCAGAGTAACTAAGGCTAGTAGGCATAGCACACATACTGTATTATGGGCATGTAGAAGAGACTGGCGTTGTTGATGTAAATCTTGGAGGATTGAGACCCCAAGCTCTTCTGTTTCTAGCATTGTTCTTCTACTCTCCTTGACCCTGTCCGTCGACTGATTTAATCTTTCAGTTGTCATCAATAATCTCCCTCTTTGATCGTTCGATGTCTGTTGCATAATCAAACGTCCCATGCCATGAACAAGAAAATTATGACGAGCAAACATACATCAAGCAGCAATGCACACATGAGCACATACACACGCACACAAACACAGAGGTATGGAGAAAATACCGTCAAGGTTTCTGCCATTCCGGGCTCCAGCAACTCGTCCCGGGCTGCATGATTAGCAACAGGTGATGTGATTCTCTTAACTTGGCTTTTAAGATTGTTGAAATCAGTCTTATATTCTCTTAACTTGGCAAGAAGCGCTGCCTTCACACTTGGCTGCAAACTCCTTGCCTCAAGGTCCATTTTCCTAAGCTGGATAGTTTTTCCAACATGGCATGATTTATTAATCTAATAACATAAACAAAAACACACATCTAAGCAATGAAAATTAACTGGAGTTGTGACATACCAAAGCATCAGCATCATCTAATCCAGCTTTTACCTCTGCAATTCTCTGTTTTTTTCCCTCTGCAAAGCAAGAATTCACAGAACACCATCTTTTATGCACATACTAAAGTCTCTCACAAGTGCATATACAAAATTTTAATCTAAACAAGAAAAATAAAACATCCAAATTCATGATGCATGCCACCAATACGAAATGAAAAATAAAAATAAAAATAAAAATAAACCCCAAATACAACTCTTTTCTTTTTGGGATAAAAAACCCAAATGCATTTTTTTATGTTGAGTTTGCCAAACCCAATAACCCACAAAAAGAAAAGAAAAAACGAAAAGAAAAGGCAAATGCATTTCTTTTTTCAGAGATTTATTACCTCCATCAACAGCGGTAGCAGCCGTGCACTTCTTTGATAGATTGACGGAGAGCTCGCAGTATTGGCGCTCGTACCCCTCAAATACCTCACTCATCCTTCTCGATCTCAATTCCACCAGCTACCCAATTGTCCTTGATCAGATTAAAGCGTAAAGTTATCAACTTTTTTATTCTAAAACTTCGAATTCGGCATTAGAGGGTTGAATCGGTGATCAATCAGAGAACTTCGGGGTTGCCAACTTAACCATCTCAGGCACAGTAATGGAATTTGAGGATTGCAGGCCTGGCAGATTGCGAGTGTCTCATTATGCCCTTGTTGGTTTCCTTGACTTACATGCAAGGGACACGTATTGACGTGTCGTTTAACGGCTATTACAAATTAGAGGTCATAAAACGTTGGTAAGTATTCTCATTTTGCAGTAGGCTGGCAGGCTATGTTGGGGTCAAGCTTTTTATTTAATGCAGTCTAACTGTTTGACGAATATCCTCATTGAACATGCGTTCTGTATTGATATCAAAATGGCGGAGGTGTTTGCTGTACAATGCAGTCAGCACTCAGAAATCTCAACACTTTTTGTGTTTTTACTATTCTACAATGTTGCCTCCGTCGCCCGAGCTACAAGAGCTGTGTACTATTGTTTCGAGAGCAATTGGCGGTTTAGATGATTTGGAATTGAGTCTAAATAAATTTACAGGTTCCTTGACATCGTCACTTGTGACCCAAGTCATTGATTCTTGCAAAAGCGAAGCACCCACTAGAAGGTTGCTCAGGTTCTTCTCGTGGTGTCATAAGAATTTGGATTATGGTTTGAAAGACAAGGATTATAACTATGGCATTCGGGTTTTTGCAGAGAAGAAGGACCACACGGCAATGCACATTTTACTTTCTGACCTTGTGAAGACTGGAAGGGCAATGGAAGCTCAGACTTTTGGTCTTGTTGCTGAGGCTTTGGTCAAGCTGGGGAGGGAAGATGAGGCATTGGGTCTGTTTAAGAATTTGAGCACATACAAGTGTCCTCAAGATGGTCATACAGTCACCGGCATTGTCAATGCGCTTTGTTCTAGAGGGCATGCTAAGAGAGCAGAAGGGGTTGTTTGGCACCATAGGGATAAGATTGCTGGTATAGAGCCTTGCATTTATAAGAGTCTTTTATATGGATGGTCTGTGCAGGAGAATGTCAAGGAAGCAAGAAGAATAATCAAAGAAATGAAGTCAGCTGGGATCATGCCGGACTTGTTTTGCTTTAACACATTCCTTAGGGGCCTTTGTATGAAAAACCTTAAATGCAATCCTTCTGGACTTGTTCCCGAAGCTTTAAATGTGATGATTGAGATGAGGACATATAGAATTTTTCCAAATTCCATTAGTTACAATATATTGCTGTCTTGCTTGGGAAGAACAAGAAGAGTCAAGGAATCTTGTAACATTCTTGAGACTATGAAGAAAACAGGTTGTTCTCCGGATTGGGTCAGCTATTATCTTGTTGCAAGAGTGTTGTATTTGTCCGGAAGATTTGGTAAAGGAAATAAGATGGTGGATGAGATGCTTGCAGAGGGCCTGCAACCGAATTGCAAGTTCTACTATGATTTGATTGGTATACTCGTTGGAAATGAGAGGCCATATTATGCTCTTGAGCTATTTGAAAGGATGAAGGCAAGCTCATTGGGTGGTTATGGACCTGTTTATGATGTGCTGATTCCCAAGTTTTGTAGGGGAGGGGACTTTGAAAAGGGTAGAGAACTTTGGGATGAAGCCATGGCTATGGGTGTAACTCTTCGCTGCTCAAGTGAGTTGTTGGACCCCTCAATCACTGAGGTTTTCAAGCCAACAAGGAATGAGGAAAAGCTCAGCCTTATAGACTGCGCCAAAGCAAAGGATCAAGAGAAAGTTAAAAAGAAGATGGGCAAGACAAAGAAGACCAAGAAGAAGTTGACAGAGAGGAAGGGCCTGTTTGTAATTTGCTAAGTTAATGGAATATCTTTTCCTTCGACCAAAAAAAAAAGAGGAAGGTGAAGAAGAAGATGACCAAGAGGGAGGTGAAGAAGAAAATTAAGAAGATAAAGAAGGAAAATAAGAAATCTGCTGCAACTTAATCGGTATGCCTATAACTTGTACCGTTTTCTTTCTTTAGCATCCCTTCGGTTCTGTATCCGTATACGTTGGTTGAAAATGCTGAACTCTTGAATAATATCTGAAGCAAGATGACATTGGTAATGGAAATACAATTTTGTATACCTGTTCTGTTTGAATGGTTACTCATTTGACCAAATGAATTGAATTTTGAGTGTTTTGCATGGTTGATAGTGGTTGAGCTGGCTTTGAATCTGAAGTGGTTGGTAAACTTGTAATGAGAGCTTAGGGAAAATTGTATCAAATGATCACATTTTATATGTTTTTTGTAACTGTGTTTTCTTTCACTTTTCTGAAATTTTAGCCATGTTGTAAACTATTGGTAAATTCATCACATTTTAGTCTACCAGTTGGTTGATTAATTTAATAATCCTTGTGATCCAGAAAGTTAGGAAGGTAAATTGTCTAATATTGTACCAAATTTTATTAAATTGTTTGTCACAGTTGTCTTCTTTGCGTCTAATTGAGCATCATCACCGCAAGTAATTGCATCTTATTAGATTAATGAGGCCTGCTAATTTATACATTACCAAAAAAAATCAAATTAAAAATGGAAATAAAACCCTGCTAATAAAAATATTGAAAAATGAAAAAATGAAAAGGGCAAGCAAGCAACTGCAGCAAAAAAAAAAAGGCTTGCTTTGCTCCAGCTATCGGCTAGAGAGAGACAGGGAGTTGAAACACGGCACATGGACCATGAGCATCAAGACACTGGAGACTGACATAGCAACTGAGATGGGATCTTGTGGGGCCCTCGATCCCCAATCTAGCTCCAAACTCACATGTCCGGTTGGGTTAGTCAGACGACGTGTAATTGGGGAGGGGGTTGTTTTGCACGCGCTTCAAAGTGGCGTGGGAGTGA